ACAGGCAATAAAAACCTTCTGGCAATATAAACTTGTAAATGGTGTTTGTGGCTATAGGTCCTCCAACAATAAAAATTGGACCACTAATTAACCATGATAACAGTTCATAGAAACAGAAAATTCAAGTTAGCAAACAACAATAAACAGCCCCAGGCAATAAAACTTGTAATGTTGTTTGTGCCTATAAATTTATTCTGGTGAGTCTTCTCACAAAGAAATTGGTACACTGATGTACCACGATAAAGGTTCATCATAACATAAATTACAAGTTTGTAAAAAGAACAAACAGCCTCAGGCAATTAAACGGTGTTTTGCCTATAACTTGCTAATGGTGGGTCCTCTATATAACGATGAAACTTGTACAATGATATGCCATGATAAGAGTTCATTAACCCTCGGCGCGCATGCGCAGCGAGGGTTACAGTAGTCGGGTTTGTCTGTTAGTCTACATCTAACTCCTCGAACGTCTGTTCGTCCCAGAAACGATACCATCTACCCAACGGGCGACAAAGGTCAGAAAATATGTGGGGTTTTCTCTGAAAATGCTCCGTTGCAGAGCTAGAGCGCGAAAAAGCCAATATGTAAAATACGCAACGGACGGGATGGCTTACCGCGGTCTGATCGATCCGCGTACCTTGGAGGCACCAGAAGATGCAACGCAGGGCGTGTATCGCCTATCTAGTAGCCGCGTCAGACTCTACGCGAGCTGGCAAGAGACCACGAGTAACAGCTAAAACTAAACCCAGCCCATCAATTAGTGATACAGCGCATGCGTTTACTCACGCGGTCGCGTCACAATGAGGGTTTGCACTTCAGTGCTTTTCATTGAAACAGAAGAAGTTGTGAACAACAACAAACAGCCTCAGGGTTGGTTCTTCATAATTATACATAAGACTAAGTTTTGAGTCACGAAATCTTCTGGTCAGCATTTTTCATGCTTGTAAACCCATGTATGACCAAAGTTATCTTACCTGGTATGCATTGGATAACCAACAACAAAATATGTTGTGATGACTCAATTTGCGTCTTATAATTACGAAGTAATAAAGGTATAAGTTGCTTATGCTGATTCCTCTAACAATGAAACTTAATTATGTAATTTGGTGAAAGAAACATGGGAATGACGATAATTTTATGGATAGTAGGCCCCAAAAACTATATTGCACACCATGCATGTGAATGCTGTAAAAACAAATCGAGGAGAAGAGACAAGTAAATCTTCCAATTAAATGCACTAAAGTACAAACCTCGGCGCAGTAGAAATGCGTGTATGCGGTATACGCATGTGTTGTACTGCTATGATGGGCTGGGCCATTTTACTGACTCGTGGTCTCATATACCAGGCACCTTCTGGTGCCTCCATACATAACAGCCTCAATGGTGCCTTGGCCCCCAAGGTACGCAGAGCAAGCGCATCTGGTCAAGGTAAGCCAGTGAAAACTTGGATATTTTTAGCTCGTTCACTTGGTTTTCCTTTCGAGCCCAGCAGTTTCAGAGAAAATCCTGCATATTTTACGACCTATACCCAATGCTGAATACACGGTATTGTTTTGTGGAGCGATTCTGAAGTGAGATGTCACCCACACGACAACAGCCGCAGTTCAAAGTTCATGTTGAATGGGCCCGCCTGGGCATGACATGTATACAGACAGAGTGAGGGATGAATACCACAGTTAAAAACATGTAAGAAGCACAAAACATGAAGGTGGGGTCCATGGCAGTCAAAATGTCAAGTAGAGGGCTCCAGCAGTATTATCACTTTTTGTGTGGTTGGGCCAGGGTTGGTTTGTCCAGAGGACATAAATTTGCCGGGGGAATGACCTGGACGCTGACAAGGTTCTTCATTTCCCTTGATAACTCAGGGGCCGTGATCCAGTGCATGATCTCACAACTTCCTCCACCAACACAGCGATCTTGTGTACGAACTGATGTTAGGAGACCTTTTGTAGCAGCAGCAATTGGTCTTTCTTGTTGATGATCTTTTGTGCATTGATGATTTCCAGCCGATTTGCAGGCTCATTGGCACTCAGTTTCTCCGATGCAAAATTCGACTTGTACATATCCTCCAGTTTCCTGCATCACAGTTGTCAACAGTTGTTCAATGCCCCCTTCAGGCTGTCAACGGAGGACTTTATAGAACTGATGTCGCTTACAACGGTTGATTGAAAGGCAGTGGTTGCACTATCGTCGGAAACATTTGATAACAGGTCAGTTTATCAGGTTCAGACAAATGACTAGCGTTTAGCGTGTCACAAGACTGATGTAAGACTGATGTAAAACTGTCCGTCCAAGTGTCACTAGATGTCAGGCGTGATTAATCCCTGGAACATTTCTTGGGAGTGTTTGTGGTAGCTATTGCTGTCTTATTCTTAACCAGCTGGCATTTGTCGGATGTGTGCTTTTACTTTATAGTTTTACCACCGTTGTTCCTTCTGCTTGGTGTCACCTGTGGTAGTCACTCTAGCCTCTGAGAAGAGGTCATTTCTTATACTGGAGATAGATTCTGCTGATAGTCACAGAGTGATGGATCTCTCTAACTCCGATGCACACACATCCAAATTTATACCATGGTTAGCAAGACGGTTCATGGCTACAGTTACGAGCAACAAACAACTAGTGGGAGGGATGTAAGGACCCCTCCTGACACATCTCTCGCTGTTTTGCTCGTGCCGGGTTGTTACCCTAGTTCATTACCTCATTTCATACACAAATTTCATTGCACAATACAGATACAGACAATAAAAAATAAATGTGAGTGTAACACACTACAACAAGGAGTTTACTTCCTTTTTTCGAGTTCTTCAATTACAGTTAGGAGGCGCTGCCTTGACCTCTTGGTGATTCTACTTCCCACCCCAGTTACCACAAGACTTTGTAGCTGCTTAGAACTATACTCCTACAGTCAAAGAACAGTTTTCATTCTATGAGCAGAGTATACATTTCTTAACTTACAGTATGTTTCCTTATCCACTCCTCTGTATCAGTTTCAGAAAGGTAATATGCTTTAATGTAGTCCTCTACATACTGATGGTAAGGGAGAGGTCTGCAGAGCAGAACAGGTCTATAAACTTAAGCATAATGAGAAAAGCACTACATATGTGCAAACCCTAGCGCACTAAATCCGTTAAAGTTGATGTCACATTACACATCACCAGAGTAGAAGATTTGGAAACATGCAACCTGCTCCACGTCGTGTGCAGTTTACAGTGGACAAGTGACGGTTAGTAGCACATCTATCCGAGGCTGCTTTGGGCCGACTTTGTTTGCATATCTACTGAGGGGCACATTTATTACTTATTACAAATCTCTATGATCCTAGCAAGCTATCCAAGCTGTTGTGTCTGGCCTGGCTAATCTGTTCTCTCGCATTCACACACTCACACACACACTTTTGGCATGCTATTTGTAACATCTTCCCTCACAACCGTCGCGGCTGAAAAGTGTGTCATAGCTCTACTATTATCCGGGATCACATACTTGCCCTCGTACAGATATCGTAGCTCCCAGATTATGTTCCCTTTGAAGATAAGCAGTAATAATAATACTCAAGTGGCTGCCATAGCACTAGGGCCATAGACCACGCACCCAGAGAAATGGGCGGAACGGTTAATAAATGAACATACACCATATGAACATGAGTTGTCTGTCTCACCTCCCAGACACCTCAACTCACCCCTTCCACCAGCGACACCCTGCAGCTCCCCAGACGCAATCTGAGACTGGGTCTGTTGTACGTGGGGATTATTGCCGTATAACCTAACCTTCCTTAGCTCCCAAACATCTAAAATATAATCTTTAACAAGGCCAAGCAAAGTTCCTGAAACTATCAAGCGACTGGAAATGCTCAAACCCATCATCCCCAAGCTTCCCCTGCAGGGCAACTAAGAAATTCCTCCTAAGACTACTATATGCTGGACACTCCCACAACACATGCCTCACACTTTCACACTCATCATCACACAACAGGCACTCCTTCATACCCTCCCTCCCCCTATGCCTACCCAGTTCCTCATTTAGCTCATGCGTGCCTGATCTGAACTTAAACATTAATCTAGATCCAGCATCACTTTTCCCATGCAACTCTACGTCTTATACAACAACAGCTTTACTTTGCTATTTAAGCCCCTCTTCAAACTTTCTAATCTCCCTCTCATTAATACTGTCCCCTACTATAGACAGAAAGCCCTTCAAGGGGCAATCCCCATTCTGATTATCATGCAACCACTCTGCCTTGTCAAGACCTAATGACGAAAAGAGATCATCGATGACCTTACTCCAACACTTCCTCTGCCTGCCTCTTCTTGGCTTAAAATTCCATTCCTGGTTAAAAAGCTTTCTTCGGATACCTATTGCCTGGCAATGCCGCTAACTTATACCACCACTTCAACTTATTCTTATCCCTACGCCCTTGTAACGTATCAAGCCCCATATCCCCCCTAACGGCTTCATTACATGTCTTAGACCAACACCCAAGGATATGCTTAGCTCCTCTCAGCATCACGGACTCTAACGCAGCTGCCTTTGAAGATAAGCACTCGATTAAAATGGTGGGACATAAGCTCGCAATTATAATATTATCTGATAACCTCTTTCTATAATACCAGATAAAAGATAATGAGGAAGATAAGCGGAATCACATCATACTTATAATGACTGATGAGTGCCCAACGGTATGCAATTGACTGTAGATCCCAGAGAGTATAACTAATGCTCTAACACTCCCTCTATGCTTGCTTCTTGTTCCCCCCATGTTTGTTCCTTCTCAAGCCACCTAAACTTTAATATATTACAGTCCGGAAAATGCCTGCAGTAACCCAGCTAGTATCAGGAAAACATGATCTTGCTTGTATATACTACTGACTGCATCATATGCACTAGGTGATCCTCCTTATTCCTTTATCCCCCATTTCGCTCCTCTAGCTTCTTAAAGGGAAGTTACTGCCCTAAGATAAACAGCAGATTTCAAAGTAGAAATTTTGGACTATTTCAAAAGTTACGTAATAGACCGGACTATAGATTTCTTTTTCTTTGAGAAGTGCCAAGTAGAAGGAGCTGGTACCATTAACATCACGGTATCACAGGAGGTTTCATAAAAGCATTAAACTATCATGGACACTTGCAGGTACGTAGCTTCTACAGTTAGGCTATATTCTTGTTCACTGGTTCTTTGGGAGGAAGGGGCGCTTCAGGGTATGGTGTCTCTGATCCAACCTTTCACCAGTACCAACCAGATTTAGTGAAATCCATCAAGGGTGCCTGACCAATAATTGCCCCAAGAGTGTGTAGCTTCTCCATGCCACAGATGATAGAGATAAAGCTAGGTATGTGCTAGGAAGTGTGTAATGAAGGCTGGAATTACCAAGGTCATAGGAGATAATACCGTGCTGTAGAAGGTTTCAAACTGTGATCTCTTTGCTACTGCCAAGACCTTGAAAATTTCCCTAAAACGGAGGATACACCTTCCACACACTTCAGTTGACACAAGTTTTACTTGTGTGTGCACATCAGAAAATTATGGGATGGAGTGTGTAAAGTGGCTGCAAAAGATATTCAATGGTGAGTTACAGTGGAACTACGTATTAGAAAACTGCTTACAGTTACACTCCAATATGAGTGCAAGAGAGCCAGCCACTAGCACGAAAAACATTACTTTCTATACTGTGTAGACTTCTGTGCACCACGTGATTGCAGGGCCATGTGTGACATTTTGCATTTACTTCGTTTATGCAGCGTGAAAACCACTGATTTTTAACGTTCTTCAGAATATCGTTTTTCTTTTAATGGTGTTTGTGGGAAAATAGGGAATTAACTGCAACATACAGACGTACCTGATACCAGATATTTTTTCAACTTTGGTCCGATATTGTTGAAAATCAAGCTGCATGAGGGCCCTTCCTTCATTGGTGCACTTCTTGGCAAGTGAGAATCTGCAAACAAACATGCTAATTATAATATAGCAGACATTGCACAAGGGCCATTGATAACTCAGAGAGCTAGAACATAGATAAAGGAGAGTTAATGGAGGTGGCTGCCTTGCGAACACAAACACCAGCCCTGTAGCAACCCTTTGCAGTTCTCCTGAGATGGGAACAGTTAACACTAGGGTGGTTATCGCCATAAAGCTTTTGCAAGTCCCAGAACACCACCCTTTAACAAGCCCAAGAGGCAAGAACCATACTATACTCAATATGGGGATATTCTGTCATGTTGGCAATGTTACCTTTTGTTAGCCAAGCATTCGTTCTCTGCAATTTTGCACACACACAAAGCGTTGTGCTATGCGTTATCGAACAATTTGCACGCGTTTATCTAAAAATGTTTTTCGATTGCTCTACGGAACACATTCTATTTACTGTACATTCAAGATTATGATTAGTTTTACCCCTCAACAAAAACTCGGTTAGCTGCAATTACAGCTCCTTCCCACAACATATGGGGAACCTCAGCTGGTGCCTTGATACTCCTATTCGGATAAAATTATCATGCTGGTGATAATTTGAAACATGCCTTCGGACAATATTTAAATGTGCTTACACTTACTTCTCAACAGCAACTAGCCGTCCTTGATATCTGACAAATTCCTACTTTTCATATAAAAGTAAAACATTGAAGTAGTATAAACATGCTAATAAAAGATTAACCTGCACTAAGCTGTCGACATAACTGCTGTGCTGTGACTTTATATCTCGTATATCCCACTTAACAGTTACCATCCTTTGCAATATCTACAAAAGTAGGACAAAAACATGTCTCTTCTACTTCCTTGAATTACACTGCTATGCAGATACTGTGTAAGGATAGGTGTGGTTTTTCACTTTTAACACTGCGAGCTGGATTCTAGTTTGTGCGGGCATGGTAAGATTTACATACTATAGCACCTACATAGCTGTAGTATAGGAACCCTTGTATTTTTGGCAAGCGATGAGCAGTTCAATATTACATACGTGTTTTGGAACATATTTATATGGAATCAGGCAAGCCTTACGGTATGTGCATCGGTCGATAGATGTAATAATAATAATAATACTCAGGTGGCTGCCATAGCACTAGGGCCATAGATCACGCACCCAGAGCAATGGGGGGAACCGTTAACAAACGAACATACACCATATGAACATGAGGTGTCTGTCTCACCTCCCAGACACCTCAACTCACCCCTTCCACCAGCGACACTCTGCAGCTCCCCAGACGCAATCTGAGACTGGGTCTGTTGTACGCGGGGATTATCGCCGTATAACCTAACCTTCCAAACATCCAAAATAAAACCTTTAAACAAGGTCAAGCAAATAACCAAATTTATCCTCCCACAGCTCACTCACTACCCAATATGCTTTCAAACTATCAAGCGACTGGAAATGCTCAAACCCATCATCCCCAAGCTTCCCCTGCAGGGCAACTAAGAAATTGCTCCTAAGACTACTGGACACTCCCACAACACATGACTCACACTTTCACACTCATCGTCACACAACAGGCACTCCTTCATCCCCTCCCTCCCCCTATGCCTACCCAGTTCCTCATTTAGCCCATGCGTGCCTGACTGAACTTAAACATTAATCTAGACCCAGCATCACTTTTCCAATGCAAGTATAATATACTTTTTGAAGAGGGGCTTTTTGAACTCTACCACCTTGTTAAATATCTTATTTAATAACAGCTTTACTTTGGTATTTAGCCCCTCTTCAAACTTTCTAATCTCCCTCTCATTAATGGCTTCATTACATGTCTTAGACGAACACCCAAGGATATGCTTAGCTCCTCTCAGCATCACGGACTCTAACGTAGCTGCCTGAGTCTTATTGGCTTGTATATGGAAATTCCGCATTTAGTGGGATTGCTTCTTTGCCAATTAAAACCGAGCCAGTGAACTACTGAACATTCACTTTTTGACTGCCTTGTGACAAAGACTCTATATTCGGATAGCGCGGGTCAAATCTCACGTGCAAAACTCCTCAAATCTCAGCGACAATGACTCCATAGGCCTCCAAAACACACTAGGAATAGTCTACAGGCCCATATCTAGCTATACATGTACCAAAATACCTCATACGCACCTTCAGTCCTCCACGCGAGAAGTCGCTCATACGTGATTTTCACGATTTTCGTGTCGTCATATTCTTCTTTAGACCCGCTATCTCCTTACCGGAACTAGGTGAAGCACTGATTTCTTCACAAAACGTCTCCAGATTCACGATCGCGGAGCTCTTCCTGATAGATACTGAAGGACATCATTTGGTGCTAACTCAGCAAGCAGTCAGCAGCATGCATGCGCGCCAGGCGGGGCATGCGGAACTCTCAAGCTTGCTCTCGAGTCTCCTGTACAATCTAACCTGCCTTTGCTGCGTGTCCACTAGGAGCAACTTCGCAACAGTCTGAGTGCAAAGTGTTGTTGAACATAGTTATGTCAAGCCTCCATCGTTTGTGCCCCAGCTTGTAGCTTACGTAGCTAACATTGTATACTAAAGCCTGCCCATGAAACCACCACCTAGTGTAAGATGCCATAACCTAACTATGGGGAAAATAGTGGAAACAAGCGGAATCATTTCTTCAAATGAAGGGGGAAGGATGGGTGGAAGAACAAAAAGGAACAAACAAGGGGTTGTTAACAGCAAAGATACACGAAGCTACATCATCCCTATATCTTTGTAAATAAAATCAAGAAAATAACATCAAACAAAGATATAAGGATGGCGTCACGTAGCTTTGTACGTATCTTTGCTGTGTAACAACCCCTTGTTTATTCCTTTTTGGTGCATCCAGCAATGCCTGTATCCCATTCATTTTGAAGAAATGATTTTTCCACTTGTACAAAAACCTGTGCACCCTTCCATGTGCGCTATTTCCAGATATTAAGCATGGAATTTTGAATGCGCAATAGACGCAGAGGCAACAGCCACAAATATGTGGGGACACTGCGGGTGCTATATGCAGTAGATTGAATTTGCTCCAATGCGAAAAGGTAGACACTAGGTTATGTGGCTTTGTAATTAACCCTCGGCGCACATGCGCAGCACGGGCTACAGTACTTGGTCCGTCAGTCTGTCTGTCCGTCTGTTACCACGCGTAACGAAATGGCCAAGAAGCGATACAAACGGGTTTAACGCTACACTGGCTTTATTTGATTTTCGTAAAAGTGCTGCGTTCTAAAGTTATGGCGTGAAAACCAAGTGAACAAGCCAATATGCTAATTAGCACAGGCTTACCTCGACCGGGCCAGCTTGTTCTGTGTATCTAGGCACAAGAAGTCACAACGAAGGGCGCGTATTGACTCCCACATGCATCACTAGTACTTAGTATATTATAGGGACAGGTTGTCCTGCATTATGCCCATATATTTGAGATTTGTACGTTTCACTTTCAGTTTCAATCAGATCCAACTTCGGACACATCAGACTGATCCGTATCGTCACAAAGAGCATGTTTCCAAGAAATGGCTTAAATCGCATAATCGGTACTTGATACAATAAACACTTGTAAATGGTGTTTGTGCCTCTAACTATTGTTGGTCCTCTAACAAAGAAACTTTGTACACTGATTTACCATGATAAGAGTTCAACGAAACAGAAATTACAAGTGTTTGTGCCTCTAACTTGCTTATGGTTGGTCCTCGAACAATGAAACTTGGTACACTGATATACCATGATGACAGTTTATCAAAACAGAAAATTAGATGTTTGTCAAACAGCCTCAGGCAATAAAACCCTGTAAATGGTGTTTGTGCCTATAAATTACTTGTGGTTGGTCCTCTAACGATGAAACTTGATACACCGAGTTGCCATTGTAAGATTTCGAAACAGAAATTACAAGGTTGCAAACAGCCTCAGGCAAAAATACTTTTAAATGGTGTCAGTGCCTATAACTTGTTTATGATGGGTCCTCTCACAATGAAAAGCACTAAAGTGCAAACCCTCGGCGAACTGTGCATGCGCGGTACCACTAATTGATGGGCTGGGCTATTTGTAGTATGCGTTTACTCGTGGTCTCCCGCTAGTAGCTCGCGTGAGAGTCGGACACGGGCTAGCTACAGTAGTAGATAGCATGCGGAAGTCGATACACGCCCTTCGTTGTGACTTCATGTGCCTTCAAGATACTCAGAGCAAGCGGACCCGGTTGAGGTAAGCCTGTGCTAATTAGCATATTGGCTTGTTCACTTGCTTTTCACGCCATAACTTTAGAACGCAGTATTTTTGCGAAAATCACCATTTTAAAAATGAAGCCAGTGTAGCGCTGAACCTGTTGGTATATTTTTTTGCCCGGTTTGTTGCGGGTGGTGGCAGAAAACGTGGTAACAAACACACACACACATACACACACACAGACAGACAGACATACAGACCAACTACTATAACCCTCGAGCGCATGCACGCCGAGGGTTAATGAAACTCGGTGCACTGATATAATGTGAATGACGACAAAACGTCTGATGCGATAGCTTAAGGCCACTAATGTTACTTTCTTTATGGGTTTATGCCCAAAAATATCCCATTTTTATTGCGCACCATGCATGTGAATGCAGAAAAAAAGGAAAGGAGACAAGTAAATGTGGCCCACTCTGGGAAAAGGTACAATTCGGCGCAAATATAGATTTTCCGATATGCGCATATAACTCGATGGTTATGGCAAATATAGTTTATGACACAGGTGAAAACTATAACCTAGCGTCTACCTTTTCGCGTTGGAACGAAGTCTATCTACCGCTCGTACCGCCAGCAGTGTCCCCTTGTAGTTGTGGGCGTTGCCTCCGCGTGTATTGCATCATAAAATTTCCGCACGCAATATCTCGAAATAACGCGAGCGGAAGGGCGCACACGTAATTGCGTATAGCAGCGCTTGAATGGAAGCAGCTACAAAGGTGCGGATTCTTCGTTGTATGCAGTGTGCGTTACGCTTTCGAACGATACGTGTAACGAATTTTTGTGCCAAATGGTATATACCTTTTCCCAGAGCGGGTTACAAATACTTCGAATTACAAAAGTGTGGAATATAGGGATGCCATAAAAAGCAAGGAGACAAGACAGGGATGACCTAGTGATCGTGATCCAGTAGTACAATGGATGATGGCTACATACTTTGAACTGACATCGTTTTCTCCTGTACAATTTCCTCCACACACTGTAGCTATAATGCAAATTCTATATTTTGCACGGAAATGTCAAAGAACATGCAACAATCATTACCTGGTCACAGGGAAGTGCTTTTATTGCAATACCATGATAGGCAGGTTTTCGCAGCTCTGGGGCAGTTTGTACAGTCTGCAGAGATAACAAAATGTCCATGCTCTTTTAAATGTACAGTATAGCTACGTATAAACAAGTTTAGGCGACACACAATTGGCATTGTGACCAGTCAAGTGCACTACCACATATCCCTAATACAGCCAGTCCCCCTAAGACATCCTGCAAAATTACAACAAAATTGAAAGGAGCTTACACGACCGCATTCTTTTATGAAATAACAGTGACAAACTTTCTAGCGTGATCGGCTTGCTGCAATAGGCCAGCCTATACAACTGCGTTTTTTAGTAACATGAAAATGTGCACCATGTCCAATCTCCTCTGAGATTGAAGTATATTTTTGTTATTTGATTATTTCAAAAGCTGATAGAGTCAGTGAGTCAGTGGCATAAGAGGCCTAAAAGGCAAGTGGCGTTGAGATGAAGACATGAATGTATGGCTCATTGAGTAAGAATACTAAGTCAGATTGAAGCAGCAGGAAAAACTTGATTGGAAGATCGATGCATTTAACAATGTAAAGAAGCAGATCTCTTGGTTCACTGGCTCTTCATACACTGTAGTAAAGTTTAGTGACCTAAACACTGCGAAAAGCACTAAAGCGCAAACTCACGGAGCAAGGAATGTGTTAGTGATGATGTTACAATAATGTATGCACATAAACACACACAGTTGCATACAAGTGTTTGCAGGAAGTCCACCACTTCTTGGAGTGAGCAACAAGAAACCTACCGAAAGTGTAGTTGGCGTTTACTGCATGAAAATTTTGTACGCATAGACTTCCCGTTATTCACAAAAACCACAATTTACTGCTACTTTGCTTAGAATTGTTGCCTGTCTCGAGAAATGTTTCAGTAGCTTGTTCACATACAAAAGAAGGCTTATACAGTATGAGTCAAAAAACGTTTCCATTATCGTGCAGTTCCATTCCAGAGAACGGTACTTACCGTTCGTTTTGTTTGCCGTTTTCGGCGGTGGTGCCGTTCGGTTGTTTCGTTTCGTCTCGTTCGGTTCCGTTTCATTTCGTTTATGCACCTTGACTGTGCCGGCAGATACCGTCGAACGCGCAAGCGATTAGCGATCTGGGGGCTACGCTCACTTTTGAAAAACGCGTCCCAAGGCTTCTCCTTGTCGTTAGGAGGAGGCCTAGAGCACGAAAGCACGTCTGAGAAGCGGAAGGTGCTCCAGCGAGCCTGGCTTTCTTTGGCGAAAAAAAGCGGCACTTGGACTCCGTGCGGTACTCTGCGCACGGTACCGAACGACAACGAAACGGAACCGTACAATAACGAAACGAAACGTTATAGAACGGCATTGCGCGCGGTTTCCGTTCGGTTTTTGGCTGAATATGACGAAACCAAATGGTATTGTATTGAACGATAATGGAAACGATTTTTTGACGCATACTGTATGTGCGTGTAACACAAAATTGGGAATACTATTCTGTGCATAGGTAAAAAGACATTTTCATTGCCTATGAATAATAGAACATGTCTGACCTGTGACACAAACTGCCTCAAAAAGCTCATCTTCGATTCCGGTATCATACACTCCATGTAAGGGAGAAGGTTCTCAAATTGCTGTGCTAGATGTACACTTTTTCAAAATATAGGATTAAAGACCATCCATTTGTACAGAAACACACTTACAGTGATTCTACAGCAACCATCCGGCAAGAGAGACCAAAGAGAGTGTTCCCGTCTGTTAGAGACACAGCTGAATTAACCCATGGTTTGGTAACCTACATATCACAACATAGATATTTATGCTGCTGCATCAGTGATGCACCTTTTTTGTACATACTTCATAAATGAAAAGCCCTAAAGTTACTTCGTTACCTCGTTGTTGACATATTGTGTCAACAATGGGGTAATGAGATAGAAAGGGAAAGCAAAGGAAACAAGTCAACTACGTAGAGCCAGGACAGCTCTTTCTTTTCAAGTAAAAACCACCAGGGTAGGATTCTAACTCACGACACTCTGCTTTCCAGGGAAACGCCCTACCCTTCCTCGGTGCACATGAACCTCAAGGGTTACAGCACTTGGTCTCTGTGTGTATCTTTCTGTCTGAAGCTAATTTGTCATTAAAGGCTATGGAGGTGTCCTTTTAGTTAGAACTACGCGAGTCTGTAAAATAAAAAAAATCACAGTGTTACAGAGATACGTAAGCTGTTAAAACTAGAGAAAAGGCATAATCTCACTGTCTTACTTTGACCTGATGTAAATGCTCTGTGTCCCTTGGAGGCACAAGTAGTAACAACGGAGGGCATGTATCAACTAACACATTGTATCTACTCGGTTAGTTATGAAACTTAACCAGAGCAATGCAACGCATTGTATGGCGAGCGAGAGCGAGCAGTTCAATGTTTAGCGCGTGTTTTGCGAATCATCGTACTGCAGTGCTGGCAGTCGATTCCGTGCATGTTTTCATGAATCATGTAGAACATTATGGTGCAAGCAGTGCAATTATTTTCGCACCTGTTTTAGTATCACGCCAGAGGAGGCCGGCCACGATTAATTATTCATGAGACCGATTGTGACGTTTAGAGGGTGTGGTTTCGTCATGGCTGCAGAGCTAGCGGAGGCCCATGTTCTAGAGGCTCGCTTGGCCTGTGCAGGAAGGCTGTGGAGAAACCGTCGCAAAAAACAAAGTTTGGGCCTTTCTTGACTAATCTTGAGCTGGAGGAGCTGCAGAAAGTGTTCGTAGCAGGAGCAGCAGTGAGCCAAACACGGCACGTTTTTTTTCGTTTGTGAAAGTTGTGTTTGTCGGACAGTTTCATGGAAACCAAATGCGCTAGAAGTTCACAGTATTTTGCAAAAAGTAGAACTAATGTTCAGCTTCAGCAAGGTGCGCGTTTTCCCTCTGACATGTTTCTTTGTTTTGGAGGTATTAAGTGGTAACAATGGCGAAATTTCACACAATTTTCTGCATTCTACAGAGGAACTCTGTGCTTATTTGATTATTAATACGGATAGATCTAACAAACAGCTTCACTTTTATACCCATAAATGTTGGAAAAGCTAAACATCCATGCTGGATTTACATGCCAAGTGCTGGTATCGCTAATAGATGCCTCATAGCCTGTAGTGCCAGAATAAGCGTTGACAGTCAAACAGACAGACAGAACGGCTACTGTATTAACCGTCGTTGCGCTCATACGTTGAAGGTTACCTAGTGCATTGCAACTTCCTTATTTACATGTTTGTAAACGACAACAAATCGCCTAAATAAATTTCCTTAAAAACTCCTCAAACCTGTTTAACGGAAGCATGGATGGACACAAAACTTGATACATTTCAAAACAGCCTCAGCAACATCCTTACATTTTTCTAAGGGTAAGTATACATCGATGTGAAAAATGGTGTATTACGTCACCCCTGTGACAATCTCAGGCAATTGCAAGGTGACACAACTAACCTTAAACTGGTCATCTGTAGTAGAGTGAGATGCCATGGGTGTCATTTCCTGCAAAAGAAAAAGTCAGCATAGATAAGACAGGAGCTTATAATAGAAAAGGTGGTTCCAATGACATACACGCGCAAAGCGCCCCCGAATATTTTTAGCGGCGATGCCCACTTTTGGACGCCTCACGTGCTCCACGGCGTGAATAGCTACGCACTTTCGAAGCATTACAAGACCTTCTACGAGTTTTTCTGCCAGGCTGTTGGATTCTCAGTATATAAATCATCCTACGCAGTATGTAGGTACCGAAATTGTATCGCTAGTTTTGTAGAACTTGGAGTGACAGGGGGTTCCATAGAACCCCATGAACCCCTCCTAGATCTGCAACTGACATAGCAGTATTTTGAAAAAATACTACTCGGCAAACGCAAGACATTTTTGGTGAGCGGGACAAGCAACTGAACGTAAAACCCCTACCATTATAGCCTATTTACAAAAGTGTGCATTAAGCTGTGCAACAAATGGGACATTAATCACTTAGTGCACACTGTTTACTTACATGACCAGCTCTAAGCAATATAATACATGAGATAAAAGGTAATCATAGCATGCCTGTACCATCAGAGGAGAGTTGGGAATATAATTATAACAGCTGAATAAAATCCAAAACTTTAAAACAAAACCTGGGTCACATAACCAGCACTAACAACCTGTATGTGCCTAAAGGCTATTAGTTTAACGGTCACTGCTTGCAGTTATTTATGCGGCACAATATCATACTTAATTGACACTTACCTCGGATGCAATTATAAAGCTTTCAGATATTCTTTTCAGGGACGTCAGTAGTTTAGAACTCAGTTGTGTGTTGTCTGGAAGATATTCCTTAAAAAAGTATACACTCATAAAAACATATTGACCTTTTTGTTTAACAAAGAACCATGGCAAGATCAAGTATTAGTCATTAAAAATACAACACAGACAGGAGAAGGACTATGAATATATGTAAACCAGAATAATGCACTCGGTCGTATAATTCACGTGCCACCCTTACAGGCCAGTTATAACTAATACTTATACATATAGTGAACAAGAAGGGCAATGATTTGATTTTAACTCACAAGATCCTTGACAAAGAAGTCGTAAACCTGCATGTAAAAAGATCATAATTGTTTGTGTTTGTACAGGGGGGTAGAAGTCCTTTTCCTACTGAGCTACCAGGGCAGTTCGGCAGGGATGGTTCTAATCTTACAACACAAACAATAAAAGAAAAGGCAGTTAAAGCAAAATCCTCAGCACAAAAGGAACACACAAACAGCACAATAATTATAAGGCATTGCTATTAGCAAGTGAAGCACTGAACAAGGTACGCCAGCAGCATTTAGCAACTCAGAGAACTACTTATAAGGCATGCGGAGTAAAGCTACTATCAGCTACTAATTTAGAAATTTGCCCAAGTACGGTAGCACTTAGTATATAGGGATGACACAGGTTGTCTTGCATTGCCCATATATTTGAGATTTGTACGTTTCACATTCAGTTTCAATCTGATCCAACTTCTGTGTTCAGTCTCATCCGTATGGTCAAAAAAGCATGTACCAAAGAAATGGCTTATCGCATAATCGGTAACTGATTTATTCAAGAAAATCAGTTTTCCAAATTCTTCTTGTTGTTGCAAGCGATGTCAGTATGGAAGTATGTATGCAGCCATCATCCATTGTACTACTGCATCACGTTCTCTAGGTCATCCCTGTCTTGTCTCCTTGCTTTTAATACCATCCCTATATTCACCATTTTCGCATTTTTATTTTCTTGTTGTATATACCTTATAGTCTTAAATCACTTGTACTTAATCACTAAGTATGGCAGTCCTTAGTATCTAGGGATGGGCATGGTACATAGCATCATAGATGTACAAGTAAATTGAAAATCCTGCAAATTTAAAAAAAGAGACATATAGGATTGATAAAAAGGATACATTAAGCATGGTCAACGAATAGATTTGAGCACGACCCCCGACCCGATCACACAATCCTTATGTTATTGTTGCCTAGGTGAAATATTAAACATTCAACACTGGACTTACAGCCTGAAAATACCAAAAAAAGTCAAGCTACTGAGTAACCAAGAGTCCAAATGGAGTTTACGAGTGGCACACCAGGCAACAATATAATATAGGGATTGTGTGATGGGGTCGAGGGTGTCAGCATGCTCAAATCTATTCATTAATGTATCCCATCCCCATCCTGTCTCCCTTTATTTTCATGCCATCTCTATACGCCTCTTTTTTTAAATTCGCAGGGTTTTTAACTTACTTGTCTCCACTCACTTTTATATACTACTACGTATATCTCTGTGAAAGGGGGCAAGCCCCTTATAAAAATTAATGACAGAGAAAAATGCCCGTTGTCGTCATGGAAATGATGTAATACACCTGTGCACCAAGTTCCATCTTCATATGTGCTGCCGTTAGCAAATTCAAAGAGTGAAGAAGTAAAGGCCTGAAGCTATTTGCTGTTGTCCTAAAATATTTGGTTGTCATGGAAAAAATTTAATATGCATACCAAGTTTAATCTTCCATTAGAGGAGTGAAGAAGTAAAAAGGCTAACTGTCGATGTTCAAACAATAAGTAGTTGTCATGGAAATATTATGTAGTTGTCATGGTAATTTGTATATGTACCAAGTTTCATCTCCATGTGTGCTACTGTTAGGAGAAGTGCCGGAGGCTATTTATGTAGTCGTCATGGAAACATGTAGTTGTCATGGAAATGATATAATATGCATGCGTACCAAGTTTCATCTCTATAAAAGCTTCCATTAGAAAGTTTGAGAAGTGAAGAACTAAAATTTCTTTAAAGTGGCTGAGGCTATTTGATGTTGTTAGGTAAACTTATTTTCATGTTGGTGATTGACTACATTATTTTGTTAACCAATAACTCAAAAATGAAACAACATATAGTAATGAAATTTAGTAAGAATGTAGATATCTGTCCCCGGAAGAGACTGGTCATATTTATTTGTTTGTAAACAACACTGTATACTATAAACAGCAACAAAAACCCCAGGCAATACATTATAATGGGCACACATGTGTCAGTGTAAGTCACAAATGGTAAGAGCCATGCGAACGAAACTTTGTATACATAATATATTTAATCACCAACATCAAAAACACAATACATGTTTGTAAACAACAACAAATACAAAGAGGGTCAGGCAATTTTCTTTAAGCTGTCCGTGCCATTACTCATGTACTTAGAAACGTGGTAACAGATGGACAGACAGACAGACGGACAAACCAAGTACTGTAAGCCTCGCTGCGCATGCGCGCCGAGGGTTAACAACAACCTTGTGTCACACACAAGGTGTTCTGTCTCAGGGTACACGATGTGAGCATGGCAGCACAAGATCAGTGCGATGTGTGAGGATTAATCCCAGCACTTACACACATTAATTCCCAGCTAACATTGTCCGAATATGGTGCATGTCAAAAGGTAAAAACAACTCACGCCAAAGAGGTAATAATCAAACAGCTGCGACAGACATTCCAGAACATCGAAGGCAATAGGCTTCAAAACATTCATCATGCGCATGTAGTGACCTGCATAAAATTGAAAGTACAACTCCTTGGCACAATAATAACACAAGTAAGTAGGTATGGCACATAATTAACGTGCCAAAAAGTGTGAAATGATGCTCAGTGACAGCATGGAAGCAGGATATACTAGGAGGGATGTCAGTAGCACATATGAACAATGCATGAATAAAGCCCCTAAAAGCCCCTCGTAATTATCTATCAACAAACCAAAGAATCTCAGAACAGTGAGAGTAGTATTGGCAAGCAGTGGGCCTCTTGTTGAACTTGATGATCTCATACGCTGCCTGAAAACTCTTGCTCTAAATGAAATTGGGAAAGAGCCGTGCATGAATATTAGGTCTAAATTCACTGACTGACCTAGTACTATTACTCCAGAGAAGTAGTTATGCATTTTCTCACATGCCAGGGTAACTTATGTCATTCTTCTTGCTCCTTGGCAAACATGGACTACAAACTAAGGTTTGGAGCAGTGCTAGACTGGATATTTGTTGTTCCGGTGACTCTGTGATCAATGCTTTAACTTTCTGGATACAGTATGGTGTTGAGAGTAAGATGTATAAAATGTATGGGTATTCGAGGAGGTCTGCGTGGCTGGATGGGGAAGTGCCAGTGTAGTTAATCACAAATTGCAGTGTTAACATTGGACTGTAAAGGAAGGTTATAATGTGGGTGATAGGTTGAAAAAGACACATGCATACGTAGTAAGAGAATCTTCTACAGCAGCTTAATATAAGTCGTAGATGCCAAGGATGGCAAATGTAGGGCAGGGGTGCATCATTTCTTCAGATTTCTATTTTGTTATGGATCTTACTATTTAGTGTAGACAGATTTTGAAGGCCAACAGAATGTAGCTGCAAGTGAGAGAGATAGAGTTTTGTGGCTCCATCGTAAATTGTTGTCCATTGAGTCAAGGGCCCTTTTCCCAGATCAGATCACATATTATGTTGAGACCATACGTTTTTTCCCAGATGCCCTTTCCCAAATGCCACACAACACGAGCTTGCACTAAAAATTGTAGCTTTTGTTCAGCCACGACTAGAACAATCTCTCGGTACCTTTGAGTCATTTGTAGAGCCATTTCTGCAGGCATGCCTATAAACGTATCCTGCTTGCTAATGTAGCTATGCTTCAGGTAAGGTACGCACTCCGTTCGCTCAAAGCATTTCCACTAGTATGTGGCCACAAAAGCTAGTGCTACTTACTTCTTCACTTGCTCTTCATGTCATAACTTCGGAACCCAATACTTCCAAAATTACCACATTAAAACGACGCTGACAACTTAGTGTTGATTTGTGCTTGCTTGATTGTGGCTTGAAACAGACAAACATAGACAGAAATCTTTGCTGTGAAAATGTGCTGAAGGTTAATGATTGATAAATATTTTACCAGAAGGAAGACAATGCAACATTTATTGAGTGTTTCTGCACGTATTGAGAAGAACATAACCATGCAACTATTTTGCTGTATCTCATTTTTCAGGCCCCCCTTGCAGCGATGTTCCGTGTAGTGCTTGAAGCATGTAACACATGGTGTAAGCTGCGTGCGAGCATGCAATTAATGTCACGGAATTAAAATTCTTACTGCATTAATGGTGGTCTCTTTCCTTCATCTTCGTCAACAAAGGCATGCTTTAAGTCATCTGAGCACACACAAAATTTACAGATATATCTACCATGCACCAAGTTCCTAGAAATTATCATACCCTTCACATTGTCTTCCTCATGTTCATCGTCACTAACAGTGTCCTCAATCTATATAAATGGGCACCAAAATCTCATTTTTGGCAAGGTATCCATCAATACAATTACAATCTCACCCCTCCATGGTCAATAATTTCTTCAACTTCTTCTTCAATTTCGTCAGAGGGAGTAAAAGGGTTGCCATCTACGGAGAACTGTGTAAAGCAGCTACGATTTCCTGCATAAGTATAATAAGAATCTGCAATGTTTATGAACAAAAAACAAGCCACCTTCTTGTGAAATAGTTTTTGCTGACATTGCAGAATTAATGAAGCGAAACTCCTGCACAAAAAAGCAAACGTATTGCATACATCCACCTTTAAACAAACCCTCAGCTGATGAACTGAGAAAGTAGATCGGACAGGACAAACTTCCCATGCTTCAGTCTCAAGGAATATCTTTAGTTCCTCAAGTCTTGCCCTGTGAAGAGGATACAAAAGTTTAGGTAGAGTTAAACGGGGGCACTCTACATTGTTTACCTGTGGTAATTCTTGAAGTAATTCAGACTCTGCTGTCTCATAGAATCTTGAAGGCTG